TTGCATTTAAGTGAATTTCAGCTTGCTATAAAGAAATATATAATCATATCTATAATATATAGTCTGAAGCTTGTAATTGTCATGTGGACATTATACGAGACTTAAGTTTGTTCACTAATGCTTCTTAGAATCATGGACTAGAGTCCCTGAATGGTTTGGGTTGGAAGGGACCTTAGAGCTGATCTTGTTCCTCCCCTGCCATGGGCAGGAACACCTTCCACTATCCCAGGGTCCCCATCCAACCTGGCCTTGGACACTTCCATGGATGGAGCAACCACAGCTGCTCTGAAAACCTGTGCCAGCTGTGACTGAGTGTGCTGCATATCTTCCTGGGTTAGTGATCAAAAATGCAAAATATCATTAAGAAATCTGTCACCATCCATGCTGTGCAATACCCTGGGGACCACTCTGAAAAAGGGCGGTGCTTGACTTCCAGTCAAAAAATGGGCTAATCAAGGAGCTAATTTCATCATGGAAGAGAAACACATGTCCACCTTTGCTTATTGATGCCATTTCATAGCATCACAAGTCACCAAAATTCTGATTTTTCAACCAGCTATTATTTTCTATATAAACTAACTTTGGAGGAAAGAAAACAGAAAGCTGAATAATTGTGCCTCTGTTTATATTAAACAGTACAAACCACAAGGGATGGTTATGCAACACTAAGCTGAATTACACAAGACATGCCTCCCTTTATCTCCTCAGAACTAGAAACATTTAGAGAGTGGAGATTTGCATTCATTCATGATAGAACTTTTTAAATCACTTTTTTATGGTCACAATAATTAAAATGAATTCAATGTCAAATTGAATTAAAAGGATGAGCGCTCAGAATGTTCCATTGTGGGAACCAGGAGATGGGCACCATAAATTAAAGAGGTGTTTGGTGACACTGAGTTTTTGCATCCTCTGCTGACAGTGATTTGTTTTTTTGATGGGTAAATATGTCTGTAAGGAACTAACTGTGAGCAAATGCCTGGGGTTTCATGGTTAGGCTGCTTGACTTCTCTTGATATTTAAAAGCTATATACTTTCCAAGTGGTTTCACACATCAGGATGGAAGTATTTAATTCTGTGAAAGTGTTTGCCCAGGAGGATACCATGCTAATTATTAACTGTATTGCAGTAAAGAAAGCAACAATATTCCAGGATGGTCAAATCCAGGAACATCCAGCTCTGCCCATCATTTGCCTTGGCTTTGAACTTTTGTGTGTTCCTTGATAGTGTTTATCAAACTCAAATTGTTTTTCCCCAGATAATGTTGTCATTCATCGTGTTTTCCCCTGCATCCTCTCAGCTTATTTCCATTCTCTTTTTTCTGGCATGATTACTTGTTTTTTCCTTTTACCAAAAGACTACCCAGACGTGTACCTGGGCGTGGGCCTAAAAGACGTGGCTGTCTTTTAGCTGTCACTGGTTGGTTTATCCCTTGTGCATCTAGAACACGACCAAACATCTGTCTTTTTGCTTTAAAAGGTAGAATCTTTGCAAAAAAGCACCACATTTAACTTCTCTCCTGAGAAGGAACATGAAGTGACTACCTAGAATTACCCACAGTAATGCAAGGGCTGTGCCTACATTCCTGTCCCCTTTGCAGGCATGATTTCAGTCTCACAGAGTTGGTACTGAGCTTTTAGCTTCCACTTTCCTTTTTAATGATGATTATAATTATTTCTATGGGAATAAACCAAAAAAACAGGTGGAGGAGGACTGGTACACATCGATGTTGACAGAGGCATTATCTAAGCCCTGCTTTGTAAAGGAATGTTGTAGTAATTTTAAATGTGAGTGCCACACTGAATTTGTCACTTGTAAGCAATAGGAAACTTTTAACTCCTCTTCTTTAAATGTACTGTTCAATAGATTGAAGCATGTCTACATTTCACAAATCAATATTTGACTTTTATTTTTATATAACAGCTAATCCAGTAAAAAAATTGGTCTTACAAGGATGTAAGCATCCTCTCTGCTGAGGATGATGTGTTAGTCCTTACCTTGGCCACACACATTCAGCATTTCAGCTGTGTTCAGCTGCTCTAAAAGTAATACACAAAGTGATAAACTGCAACAACAAAATGTTAATATAACTTTATTTATGCCTATCTTGATACTATGTCTGGATGCAGCGGGTCTGTGGCTTGATACTGATGATATAGAGCAACGAAACCACATGGCATTTTATCAGCATTTCTCCACTTTCTCATCCAAATGCTGTCCTTGGATTTATGCTTGTTTTTTCCTTTGTTTTGAAAACTTTTAAACCCTTAGGAATGAGTCAATCTCTAATTATAGGAGCAGACAGTTCTCCTGATAATGTATGCGCAATACAGGGATTCAGTGCCACGTCTCTGTCTTTTATGGACATAGTTCTTCTTAAAAATTCTTTTTTGTGTATTCAGTTGTGACTAAAAATCTTCACTATATCTCCTATTTTTCTTCATGGGGGGGTCCCAGATTCTGCACCTGCGATGTAGTAGCTGAAATACAGAAGGTTCATTCTGTCCATTAGCTCTAAAAAAATGTTAAATGGTTAGCAATGCTTTCTTTTTCAATTAGCTGTATGCCTGGGGTTTAAGCTGAACACACCTTTTATTAAAACCCATTTAGTTTTTGAAAAGCAGTTGTGTGATTTGTTACCTTTCTGGTAACTGGACAGATCTCACTTGAGTCAGAATCATAATATTTCTGTGTAAGTCACCTATTCTGTATTTTAGGATAGTGTCTTGGTCACTAGCTCACCCTGCTGCACTGGGGGCAGAAGTATGCCAGTGCTCAGAGTTTTTAAAGAGTTTTTAAAAATATACCATAATACAGCATATTCTGCAGTAAATCTGATAGGCAAGCACCATTCCCCCGTTGAGTTAGGTCTGGATTTTTCTTCAGTTACCAGCTGAAGCAGTTATTTCTATTTTTGTCTAATATTTTCCATTACATACCCTTGACAACACCTACCTGGGATGCTGTTTCATAGCACAATAGCTAGGTAACTACAGGCAGAGGAACCACCTGTATTTTGAAAGTAAAGATTATTTCTGTCATAGATTAATGTGATCCCATTGACAGCAATCAGCTTTGTAAGGGTTTCTGCCATCATTGTTAGGTACACTACAATGCTAATTTAGGTGGCAAAGTCATTAAAAAATAGGAGATACTTACATTCAGAAAAAAAAATCTGCAACCTTCACTATCAGGTATCATTGCTAAAGAAGGAATTTTACTGGAATGCGTGCACAAGATATTCCTTTTCAAACAAGAGCTTCAAAAAGCTTCCACTTAAATCTCCCTTTTACATGTAGAAGACAAGGGTTGGGGATAACCAGACTGTAGTGTGGGAATAATGATGGGATCTCACTTCTCCATGGTCCTCAGTGTCACAAAAGAAATGGAGCAGCAGGTTAGGGGCATGGTGCTGCCTTCTACAGGGCCATCTAGGAGAGGAATTTGGGACAAGGGATGGAGAGATTGGACAAGAGGGAATGGCTTCCCACTGCCGGAGGGCAGGTACAGATGGGATATTAGGAAGGAATCCTTGGTGTGAGGGTGAGGGCCCCTGGCACAGGTTTCCCAGTGAAGCTGTGGCTGCCCCTGGATCCCTGGGAGTGCCCAAGGCCAGGTTGGATGGAGGTTGGAGTGGCCTGGGATAGTGGAAGGTGTCCCTGCACACTGAAGGGGTGGAACTGGCTGAGCTTGAAAGTTTCTTCTACCAAACCAAACCCAAACTGTTCTGGGATTCTGTGAGCTACACTTCTAGGAAGAAATGCACCTTGCTTCCCATTGAAAGCAGCCAGAGCAAAGTGGTAGCAAAGAATTTTGCTCTTTTTGAGTCTAAACAGGATAATGAAAATTCCTGTGTTCTCTTCTGTCTTGGAGAGAGCATACATCTGCCACATGACAATTCCTACAGTGCTGCTTAATAGTAGAAAATAACTGTGTGCAGATTGAATGACAGCCCGAGAAAATGCTGTAAGTACTGCCTTTTTGTGAAGAATGTAAGTGCCTTGTGATAACTCAGAAAGTGAAAACTTTGTGGGCAGTTGGCAAAAGGAAATGTCAGTGGTTTAATTGTTCATACCCAGCAGAAAAGCTCAAGCTGGTTTAGTATGGTTCTCATTCTTGCCAGACACGTAGTTTCTGGCCAGTTTTTGATGTGATGGAGACAACCTAAATGATACAAACAAGGTAGAAGAGCCCTTTGTTTACCCTATTCCAAGGCAGGACAGACAACTCTGCAGTCAGAATAACTGTATTGGAGATATCCTGGTGTGGAGCTCAAGAAGGGAAATCCAGGCAGCTGGCAGGAGTTCACATGCCAGCTTGTTCAGCTTAGGAGGTCTGAGTTGTCAAATGCACTGACAAAATGAAAAGCTCTACAAGTTAATCTTAGTGTGAAGGCTTAGTGCACTACAAAAGGAGATTCCTTATTTTCATTTGTTACAAGTGTTCTTCAAGAAAATAATTTTAAAAAAGAATCAAAGAAGATAAGTCTGGTAACAGTGACAGATGTTGAAGTTGCAGTGATGTTTGATATAGTCAGTTTTTCTTCTTCTGCCTTTGCTTTTTCACCCACTGTTTTTTATTTCTGTTACTTTTTCTCTCTTTTCCCTATCCCTCCTTCCTGCATAGGGGCTCAACAGAAAATGTAATAAATTAATTATATGCTGAAGTGCTTTTACTTAGAATAGGAAGGGTTGAAAAGACTGTGTTCACTTAACCCTTATGAATTTGACTGATTACAATATGGTAATGTTTTATGTCATGGCTCCTGTTGGGAGAATCAAGCTATGAGGCTGAGTACTAGTATGATGCATTTCAATTAAAATTTTGGTGATTATTGGAGAAAACAGATTTCTTTCCAGACACATGGATGCCAGATTTGCTCACCATAGAAACATTACCAGCTAATAGCTTTATTAGTAATAATTACTTTTGCACTGCCTTTATTACTCGATATTTTACAATGGAAGAGGGCACGCTGACCTTTCACTCCTTTCTTAAAGGCACAAGACCTGAATGTGATTGAGGAAGTGATCCGGATGATGCTGGAGATCATCAACTCCTGCCTGACCAACTCCCTCCATCACAACCCCAACCTGGTGTACGCTCTGCTCTACAAGCGCGATCTGTTCGAGCAGTTTCGGACTCACCCCTCCTTCCAGGACATCATGCAAAATATAGACCTGGTGAGTGATAGCTGACTTCAGAGATGGTTACACTTGGTTATCTGGGCTCTTCTTACTCTTGAGAGGTGGAAAATATTTATCACTTCTTCCCAGTTTGCTTTTAAATGTTGAATTTTTCTTGTCTGTTTTTTGGGCCTGCACACGCCTTCTGGGCAGTGTAGAAACACTGAGTGGTTTGGGTTGGAAGGGACCTTAAAGGTCATTTAGTTCCAGCCCTCTAATTTCTTTAACAGTTCTTTCCCACATCTTTAACTCAGGAGAATCAGAAGGATTTTGAGCTGCCTCTGGTAAGGAATTCCCAAGCTGTGACACATGTTTCACCCTCCAAAGGGAGGACAATGTCAGCTTCTCTTGACTGCCCCTTGTTAGAAACATACCTTTCAGGAGAGCAAAAGCTAATTTTCATCGTCAGACAATCTTTTTTCTTTTCTCTTACTCCTCTCACCAGCCTATTAATGATTATGGGGAATTAATTTTAAATAACTGAAGAGCAGGCATTCAGCTGTCTTATTCCTTGTCTGTATCTGAATGTGTGTTGTTTCCACCTGCCAAGTGTTTTCTTCACAGCAGCCTTCCTCTTGCATAGGGAAACATTTTAGAAGAAAACAGAAGAAAATAGCTGTGGATAAGAAGTTGTTACTAGTGTGACTCTCTGTGGAGCATGACTTTGGGAAACAGTTGTTCATTATTTCTGCATCTGATAGAGGTTTTAATGTTCGTATGGAGAGCCTGAACTTCTGCTAGAAAAATTCAAAGCATTACAAATTTTTCTCTGTCTTCTAGTCAATGTTTGCAGAGGTGAGCAATGTTTGAAGCCACACTATGACCACTGGGTGCAAAATACTGGAAGGGAGGGCTGAGCAGGGTACTAAGTCTCTGAATGCAGTGAATAACATATTATTGTGCCTAGTAATCTACAGAGTTTTTGGTTTGATTTACTTTTAATTACAGGAGATTGACAGATATCTGATTGCCCATAAAGGAAAATCATTTAAAATGTTGAACTGAAATCCTGCTCTGTACCTATTCCTTCCTCTTCTGTTCTCTCTTCACATTTTCTGGTCATGCAAGAGTTTGGGGAGTGGAGAACGTGAAGCTCAAAACTCTCCAAACTTTCAGCAGCTGCAGACTACAGGCAGCATGATACTGTCTGGATGATTAGAACAAGATGTCTTCAAGTTGTGAAAAGAGGATATGGTGCACTGAAGATAACAGTTGTCTACATTCCTGACTGAGATAGGGACCTTCTCTGGTTACTTGCCCACATCCAGGATAACTGATGGTGGCCAGATCCTTCTGCTTGCAGCCCTGTGCCTCCCACAGACAGCAGCACGTCCTTTCCTTTGTAACAGTTAAATGTAGGTTTTCCTCAACAATTTAAACAATTCCTCCCCAAAACTATTTAATATTGGGTTACAGCATAATGCCAGTTACATTCAGAAACTATTTAAAGCTTTCCAAGGGAGCATGTTGAATTTTTAAATAGCTCCTTTGTTAGAGAAGCGAGGACGTCAAAAAAAGAAATTTTTTAAATTTTTTTTTTTTTAAATGTACCTGTCACCATCTGGCAAGTGGTAAGAGCTGTCAGGCTTGTAGATCTGAATAAAAGATGAGATTCATCTGACTCCTTGTCTACCCTGTCACGTCCTGCACTTCATAAACAGTACTGGCAGCACCATACAGAACCAGTCTTTTTCCTGTGTGCTACAGCCAGAATGTTCTAACTGGTCTTGCTGTCCCTTGAAACAGTCAAGGGACAGCAATGTGTACAGTAAAACTGGCAAATCATATCAGTTTTACTGTACACATTGCAGGGAGCTTGTCTGGGAGCCACGTGGGCAGGATCTGAGAAGAGCCAAAATGAGTTTCTGTCTCCAAGAGCTTACCAGGCTTTTCTCTGCAGTGGTGGAGCTGGGAGCTCCATCCTCCCAGCTGTATGGGACTCTGTAGATGTCTAAAATGTAGCTGTGCTCTGAAAGGAGTCAGAAAAAATCTTTAAAGATTTGGCTCAATAAATTTCTAAAGTGTATGTTGCTGAAAGCTGGGAGTATATACTTATGGGGAGGATCTCCCTATTCATAACCTGCTCCTATATTCTAATTTCAGCATCCATCCCAGCCTTTTTTCAGATAGAGTAGTGAGCTGGCCAGGCTTTTCCTGTGACCAAGGCTGGTTATTCAGAAGAGGATGGACCCGCCAACTTCCTGCATACTGGGGAGCTGTGTTGGCTTTCAGGCTGTTGTGATCAATGAAATTTTGTGGCCCAAATTGTGTAAATTGTCGATAAAAATGGTAAATGTTGCAACTTTTGGTAATGCAAGAGTGGTCAAGAAAAATTACCTTTCTGAAGCTCCCCAAGTATGTCTGCAGGGGCTCTGCTCCATCCTGACTCGACTCCCTCTCTTGGTACTTTCTCTGGTCATAAACAGCAAAGTATGTTCGGATTATCTGTACCCATGCTGCAGTGGAACCAGGAGTGTAATTTTGGACAATGGCATGTAATGACAGGACAAGGGGCAATGGCTTCCCCCTGCCAAAGGGCAGGGATAGATGGGATATCGGGAAGGAATTCTTGGCTGGGAGGGTGGTGAGGCCCTCACACAAGGTGCCCACAGAACTTGTGGCTGGCCCATCCCTGGAAGTGTTCCAGGCCAGGTTGGATGGGGCTTGCAGTAAACTGGTCTAGGAGAAGGTGCATTGGGATTGGACTAGATGGCCTTTAAAGGTTCCTTCCAGCCCATGCCATTCTGGAATTCTATGCTTCCAATCGTCAGATAGCTCCAGATAGCTCACGTGAGCAGTAGGTGCCTGTTATGCACTGTGTCACTGTGACACCCTCTGCTCCAGCAAATTCTGCCCACCAGCTGATGAAAGATTCTCTGACTGTAAACTGTAGTCCAGATTTGCATTTCATAGAGAAATACTAACAGACAGTGTGATAATGTTTAATGCGTCAGGAATCAGACCAAAATACAGAGCATGGAAAGTCTGTAATGAGTTTTAGACACCAGAACAGTTGCCAGTTTGCCTTGTCAAGAATGTATAAAATAGATATGACATGTAAAGACTTAAATGCTTATTATTTTTACTCAGTTGGACATAATGTACTCATCAACCAAAAGGAAGCATGGAAGAGGTGAAAAGGCTAAAAATTTGAAGAAGAATTAATTGGAGAGTGTACTGGGGATGTAATAATGAGTAGTTGATGGTGCAAATAGAAAAAGGCATCTACTGCAATTCTGTGTGTGTATACAAGCAAAGAATAACACAGAGATGTCCTCTAGGCCTAATCACGCTGGTCACTTCTTAGCTGGATTACTCTGGGTTTAGAATCTCAGAACCATTTAGGTTGAAAAAAACTTTCAAGACCATTGAGTCCAACCATTCCCCAGCACTGCCCAGGCTGCCACTGTCCCATATCCCCAAGTGCCACAACCACACAGCTTTTAAACTCTTCCAGACTGGGGATTCCACCACTGCCCTAGGCAGCTGTTTCAGAGCTGGACAAGCCTTTCTATGGAGGAATTTTCCTCAATATCCAACTTGAGCCTCCTTTCCTCCAGGCTCAGCCCCTTCCCAGCTCCCTCAGCCTCTCCTGGGGCTCCAGCCCCTTCCCAGCTCCATTCCCTGCCCTGCACATGCTCCAGCCCCTCAGGGTCTCTCTTGTCCTGAGGGCCCAGAGCTGTCCCCAGCACTGGAGGTGCCTCAGCAGGGCCAGCACAGGGACAGGCCCTGCCCTGGGGCTGTGTCACAGCCTGGCTGGGACAGCCCAGGGGCCATTGCCCACCTGGGCACACGTGTGCTCATACTCAGCTGGCACCATGAAAGAAATTCCAGGTAGAAATAAGAGCTGTAGAAAACAGAACGTCTGAAGGTGCTGATTTGCTAAAGTGATGTGGTATTTTTCAAATAAAATGCTGCTTTGAAGGGAAATGGAATAATCTCCTTGACATACTTGTGGCTTCACAGGTCATAAGGAAAGACTTTTCCAAGGTTAGGAATAATGGAGCACTGTGGTGGGTTTTCAGGGACTTCAGCATTGGAGACCTCTGGGGTTTGGCAGCATGGCACTGGGGCAGAGGACAGACCAGCACAAGGCACAGGTACAGGCACAGGTAGATGTGGGGATGCCTCTGCAGCCCCACCATAGCTCAGACCAGAGCAGGAATTGCCCGGGTTACCTTCAGTACAGACCTGGCCACATTAGCTCTGGGCTTTTCTCAGGATTTGGACCATTCCGTTTACTCTGGAGATACACATAATGTCTGTGTGCTTCATTAATGAGGCAAAAGTAGGTGAATGTATAAGGGTTATAAGTATAGGGACCACTTTTTATTGAAAACTACTTATTTGCTTCTGTGTTTTTATAAATAATCTAAAAATCACCATTGCCAGTTGATTGGAAACATATGGGAACCATTAATGCTGTGCAGAAGAAACTGAAATCAAAATACCTTCTGCTTCCTATTACTTTACCTTTTATTTTAGAAAGTCATTTTAGTAGGAGATAGTGCATCTTGCTTATCTAAAATGGGATATTCCTCTTCTGAATAGTGAACAAAGAGGAATGCTATGGTTCCTCTTCTGGCCTTGTGCAGAAATATTTCATCTGGGAGCTGTCCATATGCCTCCACTTCAGAGGTGGTCTGTAATTTGGTCAGCCGCTTCAGATATGTCAGGAATTTGGTGGAGACTCTTCACTTATCATTCCTAAAGATGTGTTTGGTTCAAGGCCACGGCGAGAACTCCTTGGCTTTCACTGCTCTCATATTTCCTACAAGCGAGCAACTGATACCAGGTGGTGGAACAGGCATAACTAGAAGCTGCTAGAATTTTGTTTGCAAAATACTCTGATAGACATCAAGAGCTTGGGAGCAATGGCTTAGTGATGCAAAGGATTCAATTGATGCAATTTCCTACAAGGAATTTAATTCTTCAAAGACATTTCCCTACTAGATTTTAAAATCAATCAAGTTGCCTTCACTCTGGCATAGCAGCCTCTGTTGTAAGACCTTCAGGACTTAAAAACTAAGTTTTTATGGCTTTCCTTAAAATTAGTAAAACCTTGATCCTGCTGATTACCAGAGCCTGGCTACATACTCTAAGGTTTTGGTGGGTTTGGGTTAGGGTTTTGTTGGTTGTTGTTTGTCTGCTCTGGGGGGGCTCTTTTAGCCTGGTTTTTTTTTCCTCACTCCTACACCCTAGGAATGGAGAGCAGAATACCTGGAAAAGCTCATGTGTCCTTGAGCATGCTCCTCATTTCAAGGTGGTTCTGAAAAATACAGTACTTCAGGTTTGCTGATTAACCTCCTGTGTTTCTCCTGCTATTGAATCATGAAGCTGTTTCACCCCTTCTTAAATCAGCAAGGGTTGGCTTTGCCTCTCATTGGCTCCAGCTATGACTACTGGATACCAAATGTAGCTGTGATTTATGTTTCCCTATGGAAGCTACTTAGCTGAAGTGCTAATCCTGTGGTACTTTACAGTGAGAGGTTTGTTTTCTTCTTTTCTTCTCCATTTGGTGTGTCATTAATACACCATATTACTCTCCCAGTGGTGAACGTGGCTGGAAATAAAATTCTCAAAGTGTTTCTTTCAATCACTTTCAAAGGGAAACAAAATTGACAAAAACAGGTTCAAAACTTACTCATTTTTTGCCAAGTGATTTTTTTCTTCTGTCTTTCAGAACTGACCTTTGCAGTTGCAGGCAGAGGAGGCAGCAACGTGTGTTGTACTGTTATTTTTAGCTAGAGGAGAAGGAGAGGAGTTGTCATGTTGATTAGGCAGCAGCCCTGCCTGGGCTGCTGCAGGCCTCACAGCACTTCAGCATCTGCTGATAGAATCCAAGTGGAGAAAACATTTTGCCCTTGATAGCTCTGCTGTTGGCATGCTGTAAAGGGAAGTATTTTGTTACTTCAACCTTGCAGCCCAATTGAAAACAATAGTTGGGTGAAATAACAGACACTGTGGTTGTTCTCTCACAATCTCAAAAATAATCTCCAAAGCCTAAAATATTGCCTTTAAATGAAAAATGTTTCTGAATCGTTCTAATCTTGTAGTACTTTTAATCTCTGGCAATACCTTGTAAGTTTACGGTTAGGAAAACAAAAGGAGAAAGTATGATTTTCTCATGGAAAATAGATCTCTAGGAAGAAGTTCTCACTGCGGGGGTGGTGAGGCCTTGGCACAGGTTTCCCAGAGCAGCTGTGGCTGTGCCTGGGTCCCTGAAAGTGTCCAAGACCAGGTTGGATGGGGCTGGGAGCAGTCTGGGATAGTGGAAGGTGTCCCTGCCTATGGCAGGGATATCCACTGGATGATCTTTAAGGTCCCTTCCCAGCCAAGGCATTCCATGAGTCTATGATTAAAACCAGTTTTGGAAATCACTGTAGAAAACAACATAGGTTTTGTATAGAAATATTAATGGTTTTTTAATAGAAACCCTGGCAAGGCCTGAGCTGGAAGTGGCCAAACCAGGTCCCCTGTGCCCATTGTACCACAGGTCTGGGTACCTTAGGATGGACTAAGGTACAGCCAGGATTAGACTCTGCACAGGGCAAGGCTCTCCATGCCTTTTATCTGGACAGGGATCAGATATTCCTGATGAGGGGTTGTCTAATCCTGGATTAGATGTGCCTTTTAATCTCTGCTAATATGGAAGCCAGACTGGAGAGAGAGCTCTTAGAATGGGTTATGTTACTTCAAGCAGAGGCCTTTCAGTGCTCAGCAGGACTAGGAAGAGAGTAATTCACAGCAACTTGTGGGGTTTCTTCTTACTCTTCTTTTTAAGCAGTCTTTGCAGTTGTTTTTGTGGGCCAATTGCCCAAATAATTAGGAAGAAAATTAATTTTCAGGGTACCAGGAAAACATCATCTCTCAGCCTTATTTGCCCCAAGATTTGGGGTTTTTCTATTCATGCAGTCATATGCTCAGCTGGTTTTAAAACATGTACTAAAACCTGAAACTCATTTAATACTATTCACCCAGCTTATTTTTTCTGGTTCATTTTACTTTCAATGGGACAAAGAGTGGAAATCTGTTAATTTTAATTTTTATTTTAAAATCACCTCTGTTACTTAAGTGTAGAAGATAATTAAAGCTCTTTCAAAGGAAAAGGCTACTCCTCCTTAATATCATGTTGAGCTTTTATATTTTTATATCTGACTAGATTAGTAGTAAAAGTGTTAGACTGTCTGCTATAGAGGTGGGAGCTTGGGCTTGAGAGACATAATACTGTGTGTTTTTTGGTTTTATTCCTGATCTGGAGCTAATAAGAAAATGCCTTCTTTAGAATCTCCTCTGTACAATTAATCTTTAATTTTTTCTTTTTACTTTTCTGTTTTGTTATTTCATTGGGATACTCATGGGTACCTCACTGTCTCATTGGGGTATTGTGCTCTCAGGGTCCAAAAGGGAGGTACTTCATTTCTATTTTGTTTGAAGTAGTAAGGCAAATAACTCCTAGAGATAAGTACCATTATTAAAGTAGATATTTTTAATTTTAGTCATCAACTACACATCAAAAATAGCCATTCTGAGTTCTCTAAAATGCTGACATAGCCTGAAAATACTGGAAGCCTGTCTTGCTTTTGTTCTTTTGAAATATAACCCGAAGAAGATTAGTACCTTTACCACAAAAACATAAGTCTTTCAAAAACATGTTAAGATTGAAGGGTTTGACTTCCCAAAATGGGAAACGTCAGAATTCAGGGAGTATCTGTGAGCTTCATTCAGTTTTTTTACTTGTGTGCATTATGATAGTATTTTATCCTTTTGGTTAAAAGCTAAATATTAAGTTTTGCTTTTGTTGTGGTTTAGCAGAACTTGAGCTAAAAAGGCAGTGCCACTGGGATGGATTCTCTGCAGGAGCCTGCCCTTGGCGAGGATGGGTTTCACCAGTGATTACTGACAACAGAGGAGTGTTGAATGCAGGAAGATGTTTTTTTCTTTCAAAGTCTGTGGGCAACTTGCTTGTTCCTCTGTGAGCTGTGTATCCTCCACCAGCAATTTGTCCCAAACTCTGTGCCAAAACTGTGTCAGCCTCACTCTGAGGTGCTCACGCTCTTTGCACAAGCTGTTTCTTGCTGTTTTACTCTGTTATTTCTGGTCCCTCCCTCCAGCTCCTTTCCTTATGACCTCAGCACATCTTCCTACTCCTTTTTTTCTAAGGATCAGAGATCACAGTGCTCCACCGGGTCCTTATCTCTAAGAATGTAAAAGCCTACCTGCAGCATCTGCCAGAGGCAGTGAAATTCTCCCTTTCTGCTCAAGTATGGAGATAATCGTAGGGACAGCACAGAAGATTAAACCTGAATTTTCTCTTGACTGGTTTGTATACTTCTGTTGTTAGAAACAAAATAAAACAGAGAGAAAAACCAAACCAAACACCACAATCCCATGACAACCCCAAAAAGCAACTTCCAGCAACTGTAGTCTGCCTCTGTCTCATTCACTTGGTGCAAGAGTTTCTGGAGATCCCAGCAAATCTTCCAGCTCAAAACAAGGGCTGGGCTTTTTGTGGGGGAAGTCACAAACAGGAACAACAAATTTGAATCTCACAGTAATCAAGCCATCAGCTGTCTTTGTTTTATGAACAGCAGCTGAGCTGGGAGGCATAATTAGGGTAATGGTTTCTGGCTCCAGCTGTGTCTCACTACAGAACAAAGAGAGCTCAGCAGAGATTTCGTAGTATAATACACTTTTCCCCACTTCTGCTTGGGAGAATTATCGAAGATTACTCGATGGACTGGGACTGTGACTCAGATACAAGTGAACATCAGTATTTTTCCACAGAGGGTGTTGAAAGCTCACAGGATTTTGCAGAACCTGCCATCAGCATTATGCTTGCCTCCAGCCCAGGGGTAGCCAGGTGCTCTGGTGTAGACAGGCTTTACCAAGTGCCTCTTGGTATTTTTATAATTCTTCCAGAGGATTTTAAGTAGGTGTTGAAATATTTCCCCAGACCCTTTTTGTATTTCGAGTCCTGGATCCCTTGTGTGACTAAGGAGTTTCCCTGGGATAAGGTATGGGGTTTGCAAAGTATATTCTTTTTGGATGAAAGGAGCTATAGAAATGGAAGTTTTCTGATGTCCCACATGGATAACTGCCAGTGGGATGTCTGCTTCTGCTGTGACCCACTGAGCTTGGAGAGGGATAAAAGTTAAAGCCTGACCTAACTAAGTTCTAGCTAACAAGGACCAGCTGGGTCACAGAAAAGGAGGTGGGAAGGGAAATATGGGGGAAATGAGCTTGGCTTTACCAGGGGGATGTTTGGAAGATGACAGGGAATTTGCAGGATTCCTTAGGCCTAGAATCCAGGATGTGTGGCACTTGGGGTGGATACTGGGTGGAAGAGGAGCTTGGTGGATTTCCTTCTCATTATCCACTTGCTGTGGCTTTGAGTGCCACACAGCTCCCAGGAAATGCAGTCTCTCATATTGAGATACTTAACAGTTGTGTTAAAGCCTTTTGTCCAGAAGTCAGTGAAACAATAATGGTTTTACTTTAATACCTTACAATGCAGCTCAAATCATAGAAAGACTGGAAGAACTCAAAAGCCTGATGGGCAGAATGGACAGAAAGAAATATAGGCATGTGTCAGTGCACAGTACTTGAAAATGTAAATTTATTAATTCAGCTGTGTGTGTTATATTGTAAAATCATCTGTCTGTTAAAAATGACTGCAAGAGGATGCTGAGAGTTGTGCTAATTTGACATTAACAAAGTCTCCCTGGCTGTGACACAGGCAATAATGTGATTATTCTTTAAGAAGTGCAGGGCTGCCAAAAAAGAAGATGACAGCTTTGTGTATAAATTGATCCAAAGATCTCTTCTATTTATTTATGTGCTGTGATGTTTCATTCCAGGTGATCAGCTTTTTCAGCTCCCGATTAGAGCAAGCTGGAGCTGAGCTGTCAGTGGAGCGAGTTCTGGAAATCATCAAGCAAGGAGCTGTTGCTTTGCCCAAAGACAGGCTAAGAGTAAGTGCTCAAGACCTCATCACTTAAAGTATACTGTTCCTATCAATTACACATATATGCCCTTTATATCTGTAACTTCAAAAAATCATCTCTCCTCTCAGTAGTGACTGATAAGTGATTACACTGTCAATTGCCATATGTGTATGTTTTCATTTAAATTCCCAATTTCTGCTAAGTGTTTGGGTGAGTTTTTGTGATTAGTTATTAAATTGAAGTGTGTGGAGGAATTAAAATTTGCTGAAGCTAAGGTTTTCTTCAACGTATCCTGAAGATGCAGGCTCCTCTCTCCATCTGTTGTTTAGTTACACTGTAACCAAACACTGGTAATTCTCTCTTTTGATTAATTTCCTGTTCTGTCTCTAGTGTTCTTTTTCTGTTTCTAGTGTTCTTGTGCACCTCTGTCTTGTACTATGTTAAATGCTATAAAGATAAATTTGGAGGGCTTTACTTAACAATTACCCAACCTAGGGAAAATCAGTTCAGGACCTGTAAGTCTGATCAACATGATGATGAGCTTTCTGTATAATCCTGAGCAGTCCCCTCCATTCCTTTCTGAGAACCTCTCAAATCTCTTGAGGGATTTACCAACTTGACAGGTTTTGTGAGGCTAAAATCCATTAACGGCTGTGTGATGTTTAAATACTGCAATAAAGAAATCTGTGTAAGTGGGTAAGTAAGCAAATGGGAGCTGTGTGTGTGTTTTTAAACACGATGAATCTTGTTTGTCTGTTATGCCAAGTGTACTTTAAATACTGTCTGTTTTCTGCAGAACTGTTTTTGTTGCTACTCTCTCTGATAAGAGAGTGAGAGCACTATTTCTTTTGTGGTAACTTTAGTAAAATATCCTCTGATAAGGCACACTGAGTCTGTACAGCCAGTGGCCATGGCTGGTAATTTATTTATATGCTGGTAATTTTAAAACACCCAGTGGGAATTTTCTGGCTGGCTGCATATACTAATGTCTTTCCTGCAGTTCCCTGTGTCCCTGAGATGGCACATCTTCAGTCACTCAGGCTGATTCCTTCAGGAGAGGGTGGTCTAGAGTCCAAGTCCTGAGCCACAGTACAGGAATAGCCTGAGTAACACCAGAGCAGGTGTTGGGTCCAAATCCAGCCCTTCAGGTTGTCCTTTCTGTGTGGTGATGCTGTGAATGCAGAGGAACACTGGAATTTCGGCGGTTTCTATGACAACTTGTTCTGATGTGCAGATAATTAAAAGCTCTTATGTTGAGGCTACACCCTTCTTGACACAGAGCCATCACCAAATCGACTTGCTGCTTAGGAAAAAATGAAGGTTTTCTCAGTTGCTGAGTGTGCCACATTGACTGATATGTCAGGCCACAATTTACAGAAATGCTGTTTCTGGAGTGAAATCCCATCAAGTTTCAATTTTCTGCACTAACGATATACAGTATTCAAAATTCTATGTTTATATTGCCACTTAAAGCTCAAACCAGCAGTTTTTGGTGTGTGCCAAGCTCTGTAAGTCCTCACCAAGCAGTCAAGTACTTCCATTTTTAAGGATGCTTAGTGTTGCTTGGAGGATTTCCCTTTCCTCTGGAGCACTTGAGTTTTGGGACAGACTTACAAAGGGAAGCCAGCCTGGCACATCAGTCTTCTATACTGACCACTTACACCTACTGGGTTTTGTCTTTTTGTTTTCTTTTGATTTCCTTTATTATTCTTTTTTTTTTTCCAATTTCTTTTTTCCCTTTTTTGTTTTTTCTTTTTCTTTTCTTTCTTTTTTAATACTTTTGCTGAGCAGCAGTTTTGCCAGAGCAGGTTACTTTTCCATGTAGAAAAGGTGACATTGATCTTGGGATGGGGTGTTTGTATTTATATGAGTATGTATGTGTGTATTGTCATGCATCAATTTGTACATGCAAATAACATCCTTTCTTTGCAGAGGTAGTGATGAGGAGCAGCACATGTTTCCCTCCTATAGAAATGGCCTTGTGAGTCTTTGTGCCCTCTGTCCATGTGCCTCTCTCCTGGGAGCCTCCCTTTTCCTCAGGTCTCCCCACTTAAGTCTGAGGTTTTCAGGGGAAGCTATTCTAAAGCTCAACAAACTCATATTAAGATCAGACTGAAGATATAGTTACACAATAGCTCTGGCAACTCTGAGGCACTTCAGCAGCTAAGTAAAGGAGAAAGCTTTAATCCTTAGGTCTTTAATGACACTCTCTGGGCAAGTCTGGATGGGTGGGAGCAGCCCTACCCACTCTGGCTTTGATGGCACCTTTCAGGGAGTTGTGCAGAGCCACAAGGTTCCCCCTGAGCCTCCTTTTCTCCAGGCTCAGCCCCTTCCCAGCTCCCTCAGCCTCTCCAGCCCCTTCCCAACTCCATTCCCTGCCCTGGACACGCTCCAGCCCCTCAGTGTCTCTCTTGTCCTGAGGGCCCAGAGCTGCCCCCAGCACTTGGGGCAGCTTGTGCTCAGCCAGTTTGGACAACATCTGGAGAAATTAGGAATCTGTTGTTTCTATGTCGACACAACCTACATGTAATTCCAGTGTGCAAAGCTGTGGAGTTCAATCCCAAGAAAATATCTATATGTGTGTGTCAGCTTTGCAGTTAATTGCTAACTAATTTTTAAGCCATCCTTGCCTTTTGCCACAGCATACTGAAGTGCTGTAAAGTACAAGAGACCCTGCAGAGATATTATTCCTGCCTCCTAGAAATAACCATCTTCAGCTGAAGCACTCTGGGGGAGGCAATTGAAACATGGATATGATTTGGAAAATGAGGGCTGAGGCAGAGCTTTTACTCAGTCACTTCCCTGCAGCTCAGACAATGATGTTTTTTTCTCGTGTGTACCTAATGTATGCACGGATGTTTTCAAGTGAATGTTTCCAAGTTGCTTATCTTGGCCTTTGTCGAGGAAGTGAGCATTCAAGAGGTGCTACATGTATTCAGGTTCTGAGTCTGTTGCTTAGCCCATAGTTCAAACATGAATCAACATCAACTAAAAATAACAGCACTTAGAGCCATGATCCTCATCTGCATAATGGAGCTTATCAGTTTGGGAGCACACCCTGGTGCTCCTGCTCCCTTCCACTGTGGGAAGCAACACGGGATGCAAAGTGAGCATGGGTGGTAGCAGTAGGTCATGGATAAATATATATATGTGTGTGTGTGTGTGTCTGTGTTAGGAAAGATATCCTGAATTTTCTTAGCAAATAATTATTGGGAAATAGGAGATCTAACTCAGATTTTCCTTCCAATCCTGGAGCAGTCTGACTGGAGACAAACAATATAATTAACATTATTTTAAGCATATGCTTTTAGCTGTGTACTGTGGAAGGCCAAGAAAGTCCAAGCTGAGCAATTAGCCTTTTAGAAGACTTCTGCACAAACAGAGAGATAAAGGGCAGGTGCTGAAATCAAGAGCTGGTTATTTCTCCCTCAGTCTGTGGGAGGAGATAAATGGAGTTAATATGCCCGGGATGGAGGCAGAAGCCATGGTGTGGAGATAGAGCTGTCTCCTTCGCAGACGAGCAGCCCACAATCCAGGCTCCCTGCTATATTGCAGAAGCTTATTAAAGGCAATTTAGAGATCATAGTGATAGGTGAAAATTAGCCTCATTCTTTCTTTCTCTTTATTTTTTTGAAAGTTCTCAGGCTGCCTTCCTTCCCTTTGGTGACCTATCTGTACTTTCAGGATTAGGAGAGTGAGAGAAGCGGGACCGTGTCTGGAGCCTGTGACTTATCTCAGGATTTCAAGGGGAGTTAGCCAGCAGATAACAACAACAGCTCTTCTGCAATAAGTGGGAAAACTTGTTTCAAATGCCAGCTAGTGACTGGAAGCTGACATTTGGTTTTATGGAATGATCACACTTGGGAGGCCATGTTTAATGCTTTATGAAAGAAAAGTTCCCATTACCTAAGCCACTTAAGATGGAGATTTGTTTTTCATGAGCATTTTCTGATCTGCTTGTGTTTTTCCCCCACTCCTTTTCTCCCCATGTCAATGAGTATTTTGTCATCAGTGTGCACTTTGTCAGATGTTCTTTGTGTGCTATGCAGACATGCCATTATGCCATCAACTCTCACAATTTTGATATGGTACAAAATTTAATATTTATTGAAGTGCATTTGAGTTCGATGGGCATTAAAATTTCACAGAATATGTAAAAAGAGCAGAGGTAAAAGCCTTCAGTCTCTTGACAGAACAAGTTTCACTTTAGGTGTTAAAAGCACTTCTCATAGGTTTCCCCTTCTATTAACAATGTACTTCCAACTCCATCAGCTTCCATTTGTTTCACTGAAAAAAGCTGCTAATCACTGAGGCACCAGAGCACAGGGGAAGAGTAAATTGTCATCATGGTGATGGCAGATACTGCTTGGGAGGTGGACCAGAGCATCTTTATATCTCTGGCACATCACCCCTGGGGAAGCAGCACCAGAAGCTTAGCTACAAGAAAATATCATAAAAAAGAGATGGTTGTTGAATGAGGTGGCAGTGAATTCAACAAGGGATGTCAAGCACAGGTGCTTTGGTAGAATTGCAGATTCATTTAGGTTGGAAAAGCCTTCCAAGACCACCAAGTCTCACCATTTCCCCAGCACTGCCCAGATCACCACTAACCTGTGTCCCCTAGAGCCACTCCACATGGCTTTTAAATCCCTGCAGGGATGGGGACTGCAACACTGCCCTTGGCAACAAGGGATTGACGGAGCTTAATGTAAAGAAATAATCCCTGGTGTCCAACCTGAGCCTGCCCTGGCCCAGCCTGAGGCCGCTCCCTCTGCTCCTGTCCCTGTTCCCTGGAGCACAGCCCGACCCCCCGGCTGTCCCCTCCTGTCAGGAGCTGTGCAGAGCCACAAGGGCCCCCCTGAGCCTCCTTTGCTCCAGGCTCAGCCCCTTCCCAGCTCCCTCCCCTGCTCCCATCAGACTCGTGCTCACGGCAAATCATGAATCAGGAATGGCCATAAAAGAAAGTGCGTGTGAAGTGCCCAAAACCAAAGGAACCTAAACAATTTCTTGGCTTGGGTACTGAGCTC